TTAAGCGAGAATACTTTCCCAAATCAGGAGGAAAAAAATAATGAACAAAAAATTTGCAATCAACTGTCACAAATTGTCATGTTTTGGTGTTCATGTATTCAACAAACTTGCAAAGTAGGGGAAGTTGAGAGCAAAGCAACAGTTCGCTTGAAGGGGAAGTTGGAAATTTTTACTGTGCAGATTTTAACTTGTAACGATTGGCTAGTACTAAAAACAGCTGATTGCGTGTTGCTGGGTGCGACAAAACAAGTAAATTTTAATCAAAAATGTTACCGTTAATTTCTGCGTGATCTAATGATCGGGTCTTAAACAAATTAGTATGGGGCCATCTCTAAAGCACAACCTTGGCTTTAAAAAAATAATTATAGAAAGCGGTTAACGTGGTCCAAAGTTATGCGGTAACATACATAAAAAAAATATTCCGACGTGATAATAACCTCCTTTTTTGAAATCGGTTAATAAGCCTATTTATATATATACATAAAAATAGAAAGTACTGTTTTAATTAGGAAATTGCTTCGGAAAATAACAAATTAATCAGCTGCTCATAAAACTTGAAAACTTTTTACTGATTGACTTTTGAATATTTTTCGCTTTAAGAGTGAATTCTTAGAAGTTCAGTTCATCGTACAGTTTCCTACAAATATGTAATACTTCTATATTGGCTGTAAGCTAACTTCTCAATGTGTAAGCATTCCGAAATCAAAGCGAGACCGTCTAGTACCGCGTTTGTATATGTATTGTGTACGTGAGTGCCGTTTTTGTGTATGTGTTATGTACATGTTTATTTATAAATAAAGGGAAGGTAGAAAGGAGTACACTAGCTCTTACTGCCAATATAGGAGTATTACATATATGGTTTCCTAAGTATAAACACTATCAGCTGATTGCCAGGTCACCTGTTTTTTGGCATTTGCTCTTATCTTTTACAATTTTTTCCATTTCTATTACAATTTATTCAAAATACACTAACACACTGAACTAAAAACACCAATACACTAACCAAAAAACACACGCACAGTCTGCCAGAAAAAACGGTAAGAAGAAGAGTTACGTTAAGTATGTTACTGGATAATTTTATACTGGAGAATACACTAACTTGTAATTTTTGCAGATTAAAATAGTTCTGTTCGTCGAGCAAAAAATGTTTACGAATTTGTACGAATTATCATGATTTTTGCCCAAATCGTCTTTGTGCAAACCAAAAAATTATCCATCACTCAAAAACTGAGGGCGCAAAGTGACAGTTCTTCTGGAGAGAAGTTGCAAATTTTTGCAATCACGAAAAACATATGATTGTGGCACATGGTTGAATTTTTGTCGACGATAATTAGAATAAACAATTTCGTTAAATTTAAAAATTTATAAACACGAGCAATTTTTTTATGAAAAAAGGAAGCAAATACTTGTCGCTATAATTAATTTAGATAAATCCAATGATATGAACTGTTCTCGGCTGGAAAAAATTTTATTCGCAATCGGAATGCAATTGCAACCAGATTCGATTTAAGAAACTCGACAGCTAGTAGGATAAAGAAATCGAAATGTGTGCTAAAGAAAGTCAGAACAACAAGAAATATATATATGAATATCCTGTTTTTGTCTATCAGAAAAAATTTAAAAAATTCTATAAAAATTTATTATGTTTGAAATGCAACCGTGGACACCAGTTGCCAGAGAAACTTGCACATTTCTGCAAATTTGCGTTCATGCAGAATTTTCCCAACATGAGAGAACATTTTTCCTTACTGCCATACCTAAACAAAGGCGTCAGCGTTGTCTGGCTGTCAAAAAATCTCTTGCCCATACAATTTGTATGAAGTATACCGAAACAACGCGGCGGCAACGCTGAGCGGTTGGAAAATCTGATTTTGAAAGGGCCTTAGGTATTGAAGTTGGCTGCAGAAAACGTCGAAACTGTAATTTTCGTATTACACACAAACCAACCTATGCTTATTGTTGGTGTTATTTCTGCATTTGGCGTAGCGTTGACGCTTTTGTTTAGGTATGCCACTTCGGCGTTAACGCTAGGCGTCAGAAACCACAATATAACCAGTAAACAACCTTCGGTGAATTTGGCGACTGCCTTCCTCGGGGATGAATATGTTAGGGATGAAATTATTGGTACACACGCCTTCCAAGCACGCAGGGTTGCTTTTTAGAAACAAAAAATAATTAACTCCAAATAGTTTCAAAAAGTATAGTGTAAAACGAAATTTATTGAATAATTCCACATAAAATGGTATACATAAATGACGCATTTTCTAAACGATTTAAATTAAACGTATTTGAGAATTGATAGAAAAGTACTACGGATTGTAAATTTTTGTTAACTATGAGGTGAATGAAAATTTTCAACCCGGCCTGATGGTTTTGAAGAATTTTTTTGTTCTAATTTTATTACTAAGGCGTCTAATAAATGCATGGCTTTTAGTTCAAGAAGAATAAATGTCAGTAAAGACAAGTCTTTTTTGTATAATTTCTGACTTTAATTGCTCAACTTCTTCTGAACCAGAGCAACTGTCAAAAATTTCCAGCAGTAAAAAGTTACCAATTGGCACAGCAGAAATGAAAAATTTTCTCGCCATAATAAAAAGTTTTTTCAACATGGAACTTTTCTACTAATTGACATGAAATTACTATCTCAACGCTCGGAGCGCTGCCACTGAGGGCCTTTGCCAACTGATTAAAAAGAGAAAATTTGGAAAGACCAAACAAAAATTTTGAGATTTCTCGTTGTGAATACGAATGCCATAGTTTTTACCTAGCTCGTGGGACTACGCAAAATTTTGACAGCTTGTAAATATGTATACACATGAAGTTGTTGGCGGTAATAAGGATTCAAAATTAAAATGGAGAAAAGAACAAAAAGCGTAGGTTAGTTGTCAGTTATAAAATAAATCCAATTTATTTGCGAATATTTGTTTATTCTTTTTATTGAAAGGCAACCACTCGGAAAAGCTTGTGTTAATTATATTGATAACAGAACCTGCCAGCTCGCACGTTGTCTAAATTCTCAAGTAACATAAAGTCCACAAAAGAATAAGTACGCCATGTATAAATTTTAACAATACACAAAAATAGAGCTTTCGCACGAGCGTTTGTTTGGTTTTTCAACACCATTTATAATTTTCTTTTAATAAAATCACGATTTGACAAATACTTAAATTTATTTATCTAATAATAATATAGCACACAACCCTGAAATCTAAGAAAAAGTCTGAGGAAGGCCATTAAATAGCAGCACACAACCCCGTGCCTTCCTCAGGAGTGAATATAACTACAACAACAACGATTACTACAACAACAACCCAAAAAGGTTGGTTACTGTCTATACTGTGTCAGAAACCGCTCCGCCCCACGCTTTTGTTTAGTTATGGCAGTTACTCTCTGATATTTTGGGTGTTGGATAGTTCTGGATGGATTTTCGACGAACAAACCTAATATTTCCAGCAAAAAATCAACCGAACGCGTACTTGCAATATTTAATTACATATGAATAATAACAATAATAATAATAGATTGGCGCTTATACATATGATAGTGTTTGGCCGAGCTTCTCCTTTGATTTGTGGCGTGTGCCTTGATGTTGTCACACAAATATTTTTATCATGAACGGCGATTTCATTTTTGTGAGAAGCTGTTTTTCATGGCAGAAATTCACTCGGATGTTTGCCATTGCCTGCCGCTGTTAAGAATTTTTTTTTGCGATGCTGCTTTGACCAGGGCTTCAATCCAGGTCCTGCGAAGTGGTAGCGCACACTGCTAACCACTACACCACAACGTTCGCTGCTGTGTTGTTGAACGCAATAACATCCCAGTAGATAATTTCAGGAGTTAAAAGCCCTTCCGAAAGGCCTTCCTAAGAGTCAAGAGACCTTTCACTCTACATTCATTTCTCCTTTCTTTTTTGTATTGAAGGGCTTCTTTCGCTACCCATGGAAGGCCTTCCAAGAGGCCTTTTATAGGACATACTTCAGAAGGCCTTTGGAGAAGTTCCTTTAAGGTCGCTTTTTTAATTTATAAAAATCATACATCTTTGAAGCAAATACTTAAGGTTTATATCAAATGTGTGTTATTGCAACTTAAAATGTTTATTGAAATTCATTTGAAATGCATTCGCGTAAATTTTAAATGGATAAGCCCTTCTAGAAGGTATGCAAGGAGGCACTTTTTTCAGTCCTTCTTGGGTAGGCCTCTTAGAATGGCTTTACTTAAGAAGGCCTTCCTAAATTATCTTCTGGGTGATAGTAACATAAAAGTGTGATATATTAGGATGACAATAACAATAGCAATCCAGTGTGGTCAGAGGTGGTCTCTATTTGCCTGTGTTATAATGCACGGGGTGGAACGTAAGAAATGGTAAGGATCTGTTGATTTTTGATTCATTCCACATGCAATAGATAGTTAAGTAACAGTGCCCTCCGTCCCGTTACTTTCTTTATAACACAGGCAAATATCGGAAATTCAATTTTATTAAAGAAGATATAAAGTATTGGATACCAGCTCTCGATATGCATAAGCCAAAATTTATCTAATCTTTGACATTTTCTTTCATTTCAGGACACTATCAGCAAGTCGAGTGACACATCTGGCGAGTTAGTGCGTGGTGTGGTTCAGGATTCAACCGCTTTTGATAAACCCAAAAGTGGCTCACGACTCTCGGAGCGCGCCAAAAAGAAGTCTTGGTACAACGTACTCTATCCGAATTACAAATCGCGTGCGGAAGATTTCAAAAAGTTATTCAAGGAAGTTCCAAGCGACGATCGGCTTATTGTTGGTAAGCATAATATAACACTTTTCACCAATCGGGCAATCAGGCTATAAGTTCTTGGATTTTTTTCACATTCTAGATTATTCGTGTGCTCTGCAGCGTGATATACTCGTTCAGGGACGATTGTATGTCTCACAGAATTATGTTTGTTTTCATGCTAATATCTTTCGTTGGGAAACATATTTAACTATCCGCTGGAAGGATGTCACCTCAATAACAAAAGAGAAAACCGCACTTGTCATACCCAATGCCATTTCCATATGTACTGCTAAGGAGAAATACTTCTTTGCAACATTCACAACAAGGGACAAAGCGTTTTTGATGCTCTTTCGAGTATGGCAAAATACGTTGATGAACAAGCCGATGCCCCCACAGGAAATATGGCAATGGGTGCATAATTGCTATGGTGATGAACTCGGTTTAACCACAGACGATGAAGATTACATTGATCCGACTAGTTTGCCAGTAGAAAGTGAAGGTGATATTGATTTTGCATCAGCACTAGAAGACACAAATTCGATTGTTAGCAGCAACTACAGCACAGCTAACTCAATTACACAAATTGCCAGCAATAGCGGTGGCAATAGCTCCAGCACAAGCAGCGCTGGCGGTTGTAAGCCCAGAACGAAATCATCATATTTCTTCAGTTCGAATAAATCGATTGTGAACTCTTCGACGACCACGTCGACAAGCGGTTCTGATAATAAAACAAGTGATAATAACGGTGAGCGGGATTCAAAGAACACAATGAATGCAAAGGAATTGACACTGACCTCAGTGAAGCTGGAAGAAGAGACAGGCAAGAGCAAAATCGCGAACAGTTCTGCCAATGAAAGTGGCAGTGGTGGGGGTGGGGTTAGTGCTTCGAGTAGAGAAACAAAAAGTTCCACACTTAAGGCAGTCACACACGAGACAAAGCGCAAAGTGAACAAAAGCACACGAGAACGTGATGAGGCAGCAAGCAATAATCAAACAAATCTGCCAACAGATGCCTCGTGTTCTAGTGACTCTGAGGATAACAAAGCACCGTAAGTTTGACAACTTTGATGTCGTGAATTCACAATTGTACTAAGCATAAATGTTTCTTGTTACAGATTTGTTGCTACTGCTGAGTGCACATCAGCACATGAAGGCCGTCAATTAGTACACACAATACTTCCCATTAATGTAGATACGCTATTCAACATGCTTTTCTCCAAGTCTAAATTCGTGGCAGATTTTCATGCTATGCGTAAAACTGAAAATATGTCTTTCGGCGAGTGGGTAACCACCGATGAGGGCAAGAAGACACGCACCTTAGGCTTGACTGTGCAACTATTAGCTTCCGTAGGTCCAAAAGTATCAAAGGTAAAGAAAAAATAGAATTCGTGGCAGAGTAGAGAAGCGTTTGAGCTACAATTATCAATTCAACTACTCTTTCGCGGTTTGTTTAATTTTAAATATATTCCCCCGTTTGCAGGTGACTGAGACGCAAGAAATGCGTGAATGTAGCAAACCAGGCGAACTGTATTCCATAGATGTAAATAGTGTTAATGCTGGCATTCCATATGCTGATAGCTTTAGTGTATTAATTCATTACTGCTTAGTAAGGTAAGTGCGTGTGCCTTTTTTAAGTGATTTCTACAATACAAAAGTTATCGTACTTCTACAGAACCGTTGATGACCACACAATGCTGTCTGTGCACGCTCAAATTAAATACAAGAAATCTATTTGGGGTGTCGTGAAAGGCTTCATAGAGAAGAATACATGGGCTGGCATGGAAGAATACTTCGGCGCAATGCTCCAAGCTTTGCAAAATGAAACTTGCATTCCACCCTCCAAGGCAAAAGGACGGCGTCCACGTCGCGGTAAGCACAACAAACTAATCAACACGAATACTACTGTCACTCTCCACAACAAAAATGATCAATGTTCGTATAATCCAACTACGGTTTCTACTTTTGATACCACAACTTTTTTTGTCACTGCCATTGCCAATGCTACTACTTCTAACGCTTCCACTCCAACTGCAAATCTCACGTGCAACACAAAGTTCTCCTCTAGCACTGCTAACACCACCATCACTAACAATTGTAATCGACAATGTGACAATACTCATCATCACCGCCACTTCCATTTTACTAATTGTGTTGAAAGTGTTGGTATTGATCATCAACACCTGCAGCACTCCGATAATCACATTAAGAGTAATAATCTACACCTGCACGCCTGTCAGCATCATCAAGAACCTTGCTTTGATAATCATATAGGCAAGCTTAAAAAGCACCAGCAGCAACATAGCCCACTTCATAACATTATACAAGTATATGAGGAATTTGTCGTGCAATCGAATAGCAAGGAAGGTATAATGATCACTATTACATGAACCCGTTCCGTTGCATGTTGACTAGTTTTTATAACCGTTATTCCTCCCGGTATCCTCTTAACACATGCTCTAATTCGGTTAACCATACACATTTTTCTGTTTAGTCTTATACTTGTGGCGACTGCATTTAGCATTTAGATGTTGTTAGTCATAATGTTAAAAAGCGTTTTATCATCCGGCCCATACTTCATTTGCAAAATTTGTCCTCTTCGAGCATCTAGCAAGTACACTTAATACGATATGATGTTATACCATGGTATACTATGGTGTATTCTATCATTCTTGATGCTGTACGACTCAATGTCTCACATACACATACTTCTGAATGTATTCATACTCAATCAAAAATCGTCAGATATCGACCATCGTATGCTTGCATGTTTATTTGTTTATTATCTTCTATCCAAGGCATATTTAATAAGGTAGAAGTGACAACTAGCTCGAACTCTCTTGTAGCTAGTTATAATGTCAAAAAACTGTAAACAAACAAATTAACCTTTTGAGGTGCGAGTGATATGTTTGCTACAAACTAGCATCAATTGAAACGCATCGGCATAAATACATACATATGTATACTAATTTTAAGAATTCCTTCAATATTACCTTCAAAGAATTTTAATTGCATTTGCATCTTATATGCACATAAATATGTGTACATATAGACAGAAACGAATACCTCATATGAGAAAACACGTAAATAAAATGAAAAAAATGTTTTGTGGAACTGTTTTAAACATTTTTTTTATTCGCCCAGTGTTTTTGCGCGTTTAGTTTCTTATTTAAATATTTGATTCTAAAAAACATCCGGCACTTATAAAAAAATGATTTACTGTTTTCTTCTAAATTTATATGAAGACTTAACTCTAACAATTTGTTGATAGTTTTTTTAACTGCCCTTTAGTGAAAATTTTTTCAAGGGAGGCTTGTAAAGACTTAGCCGCTATAGTGTCTTCCATTGTCTTAATTTTTTCATTAAGAAGGTATATTTCCGTTATGAAACTACATTGTATGGAATCATTGCATTGAATACGTACGTATACGTATAAATGATTTACTGTTTTCTTCTAAATTTATATGAAGACTTAACTCTAACAATTTGTTGATAGTTTTTTTAACTGCCCTTTAGTGAAAATTTTTTCAAGGGAGGCTTGTAAAGACTTAGCCGCTATAGTGTCTTCCATTGTCTTAATTTTTTCATTAAGAAGGTATATTTCCGTTATGAAACTACATTGTATGGAATCATTGCATTGAATACGTACGTATACATATGTACGTATGTATATCAGTATAAATCTAGGTCCTGACGTGCGTAATTTTGTAAGAAACTATTTATTTCTTGCAGTTTGGGTCTCAGTTTGCGTCTGCGCATCAACTGATGATATCGTCACTTCTGAACTTTCGTGTGCTTGGGAACTGCACCTTGGTATAAAGGCATGCGCTTAAAGATATTTGCCTGCAATGGGCAAGTAATAAAATCATTCGCGTTAAAATAGTTTTCACAGACACAGAATCTTCCAATTGAACACCGCAGCCGTTCTCCGAACGAAGCTGTTCTAACTTTGCAACTAGGACCCTTAAAGTACAACGCCACTTTAACTTTTTGGCTCTTGCCACACACAGCGCACCGCTCCTAGTTCCAACTCCTTTTATTTTTGTATACAGCGACGAACAAAAGTATTGGCACAGTGAGTTTTTCGCAATATATGCAAAGTTTTCTATGCTAAATTATTTTCGATAATTTTTTATAAAAATATAGTTCATTTTACACCAGAAAACGTAATAATAAAATCTATAAACTTTGTATAAAATTCAGGAAAATTCATTAAATTTGCACACTAATTTGCAACTTTTTATTCAGATTTTTTAGAAAAATTCTAAGTATGCAGTCTTATAGTCCATTCAATTTTAGTATGAAAAAATGCAATTTTTTTAGTGGAAGGTGTTGCTCATTTTCTCCATACAAAAAATAATTGTCGAATTACTTTGTATGGAAGAACTTGCGTGAAAAAAAATTACCAAAAATCAATGCGATTTTCTAGAGAGTTCAAACTTGCACTTTGTTATACTAAATTTGAATGGGCTATGAAACTGCATGCTTAGAATTTTTTTAAAAAATCTGAATAAAAAGTTCCAAATTAGTGTGCAAATTTTATTGAATTTTCCTGAGTTTTGCACAAAGTTTAGAAATTTTATTATTATGTTTTCTGGTGTAGAATGAACAATATTTTTTATAAAAAATTATCGAAAATAAATTAGAATAAGAAACTTTGCATATATTGCGAAAAATTCACTGTGCCAATACTTCTGTTCGGCATTGTACATATGTATCTATAAATGGATGTGGTCGAAAAACCAAAAAATTCACACAATTCAAAACTATCTCACAGCATGCAATCAAATTTTTAATGAAAAATAGAAAATACTAACTTGAAAAGGGTTAAATGTTATTTATCATTTGACATTATAGTCGGTGTTCAAAAGAGAGAAATGTCAAAATCACTTCTACCTTATTAAATATGCCTTGCTTCTATCTGTTCCTCATCATTTCCTTACTCTCTCTCTCTCTCTTTCCCTTAAGGTACTTCGACTCAAGTTCGGCCGACAATAGAAGATGTGCCCGAAGCACAAATGAGAACAGAACCCCTCGAAGTGTCAGTGGCCACCAATCGCCGCCAGGTTCCCCGTCTTACAGCTGCTGTAGCACAACAGCCAGCGAGCGACACTGAACCGCAAAACAAACACAAATGGCTATCAGTGTTTGTCATTTGTCTGTTGTGTTTCTTGATCGCTTTAAATGTGATACTCCTGCTTAAGCTTTGGTCGTTAGAGGAGCGTATCGATGATAATATAAGCAGTCGAGCGCGTCTGCCTAATTTGGCTGCGTTGAAGTAAGTATAAAGTCATCGGGTTTATTAATCGCATAAAAGGTAATTTTCTATTCCCATTACAGAGAATTGCCCAATTCGAATCAAGAATGGATGGAATTGCTGCACCAACAGGAGATCCTACATGAGGCTGAGTTGAAGAAATGGCACAACGTACTGCAAACTGCCATTGAATTGTTAAAAAAGGTGAGCGTCGTGTGTGAGTTCATACACAAAAGTGACAAACTAACACAACAAATCGAACAAATACATGAGGAGCTATAGCTTTAAACTCATTTAGGCAATACTAAAACTGCAAAAGTCTGTGCAAATGGTTTGCACATTGATTACTAATTTTAGAAAACAAAAATATTATGCAACTTATATAAAATTTTGTAGTCTAGCAGCTAAAGGCAAGCTAATAATTGAACGCTGTGCTTTTAAGTAAATTTTCATAGGCGCTGCTCGCCGAAAGAAATTTAATTCAATTATGAGAATCTCAAAAAAAAGCACTGATACATATATGTATGTTAATTTCACTATTTATAATGCCTAAATGCGTAGATATACAGTTGTTTTAGCAAGTATTTGAGCTAAGATAGAATAGAAGTTGGCTATGTATTTATATTGTAGTGGATTCTATTAAGATAAGGAAGTGATATTTGCCTCTAATTCTAATTGGGACAGTTCTTCATTTGAATGGGATGTTGCTGTTTGTGAAAAATACGTGTACGGCAGAACCATTCGGTAGTAGCAGGTTAGTTTTAAAAGTATGTGAGCCATCATGAAGATGCCAGAAGTTATGCTTAGAAATGATGTGGGAATTTATACCACGACACGACGTGGACCTAGCGTTTCAGACGCTAAAAATTAAGGCATTTTGAAAACCTGACCTTAAGCTCTTTATCTGTAACATAAGTATACACAGGTCAGAATCAAAAGTCAATTTTCCACATTTGATTTTTTCCTAAAGAAAATGGCTAAACCTTCGTAACCATCGAATCTATTCAATCAAATTTGTTAAAATTTGTTAGGTTTCTACATATGTATGGATGTGTGTTCATTAGAACTTAAAATTTTGTTTAAGCAAGGCGCCGTCAAATTCATATTTTTTTAAGTAAAAGTAAAAAGGATACAAAAGTCTGTTAACAGCTGTAAGCCTTCTCTTACATTCAGCCAATAGCATTTTTATTTTAACCTGTTCAATTCATTGAATCGTATTTATTTTTTTTTTGTGTTTTGGATTAGTGGCCAGTTCCTAAGAGTTAGGACCGCATACTCCAGGTTCTTCCTCCGTGTATGTTATCTTCTGACTGGTGTAGTTGGACTTCAGAACGTATTACGAGTTAAAGGAAGGTGACGGTGGGGACACATTAGACGACTTGTTGAAACGCTTGCACTGGGCGTGCCGAAGTTGCTTGAAACGCTTGTAGTTTAGGTGCGGCTTATGTTAGCCTTGTATGCGGCGGAATAACACGCCAGCGAGCGGATTGAAAAGGTTTGAGCGAGGTGGAGACGGTATAAATAGTAAATACATGAAACGAATGTACTAGTTACAACACCAGTACTATAAATATACATAAGTGGGTTTTAAACAAAAATTACAGTAAACATAAAAATTAAAAGGTGATCTTGGCTTTTTGTAAAAAGTTAATCAGTTGAGTTATCTTGGCTAGATTTTTGTCACGAAAAATTGCCTCAAAGCTGTTATGTGTTTGGAAAATATCGTATCCGGATCTGACATTCGAGTGCCGCCTGCAGTGGAAAGTCTGATGGACGTATCCATCAACTTGACCACACGAGCAGCGATTTGACCGATAGGCCTGAATTTTGAACAGGTAGTTCTTGTCATAGGTATGGCCTGTTAATATCCGATTCAAGGTTTTAATATTGGTAGGGGACAGTGAAAGTTTTTTGAACCATGCGGTATCTCTTCTCATGGGGAAGATAGTAGCATATAAGTTAGGATGATCATTTGCATATGCCAGCAAACCAGCATACCATTCGTTATACAATGTTTCTTTTATCTGCTTGATAGCTTCGTCGGTAGTGTATAAGTAGTTTTTACAACTGCTACTGTCAATTGCCTTTTTGGCAATACTGTCAGCCCTTTCATTCCCCGGAATACCTTTGTGACTGGGTATCCATGCAATATGGATACTGTCGAAAGCAGCTGCGTGGATTTTTCGTAGGATTCTACTAGCAATGCTGTTGAGTGAGTTAGGGTTTTTAAGGGTTTGGCACGACACAAGGCTGTCTGTAAATATTACTAATTTGCGGTAGTTATTATTGGAGGCGATATTAATTGCCTCTTCAATGGCCAAGAGTTCCCCAAAGGCTGTGGACGACTTAAAGGGTAGGTGGAATGCAGTTTCAGTGTCATAGTTGTAATTGTATATGCCACACCCAGTCTTGCTGTCAGAGAGCGATGCATCGGTGAACATGACGTTAAAACTCCTCTCCTTGTAATTGTTGAGCATCCTAGAGAAGTGAGCATTGGCACATTCAGCAGTCATTGTGGCTAGGGAAAGCGCTGTCGATTATTTCACAGTTGGTGGAGCTGGGATGATATCCCACAGGTTCAAGCCGGTCGAAAATTTGTCTGAATTTGTTATATGTGAAGGAGTAACTGGAGTTCACAAGGGGGCTGGATCTAACCGAATCAACTATGGGGTCATTAACCGCAAACATTTTAGCCAGTTTTTTCGCGGTAAGCCATATTGACCTCTCTGCAGGAGGCAGTTCATTGGCCAGTGCATACATGGTGGGAATAGGGGTAGAGGGCGTTAAACCTAAGCATCTTCTGAGAAATTTGTTTTGTAGAGTGATTATTTTTTTGGAGGCAGATTTAGCACCATTTGCAGCAGTGGTGTATCCATACTCAATTTTAGACCTAACTAGACTTTTGTATATGTTCATGGCTTTCTGCGGATGTAGACCCGATTTGACATTTGTTAGGTATTTGAAAAACTTAATATTGTTGGAAGTTGCCTCTATGGTAGATTTATAGTGACTACTCATGGTCAGAGAGCTTTTTATTATTCTGCCCAGTGCTTTAATTTCATTAACTTGTTGTAATCTAGTCTGACTTTTAGTGACATTAATTTCCCTTTTTGGTCCTCTGCTAACATGCATGACTTTAGTTTTGCTTGGGTTGAAACTTAGTTGTAGTTGGCTGCAGATTTCAATGAAGCTGTCTAGTTTTACCTGGAGGTTGCTGTTAGCCTCAGGGAAGCTACTGCCAGACGATACAAAGAAAAAGTCATCAGCGAACTGGTATATTTGTATATTGGAGTCGGATAGATTGTGTAGCCATTTTGTATAAATGTTAAAGAGGATTGGTGACAGTACACTTCCTTGCGGTAGCCCATTGCTGNTTACTGCACCAGAGCACTCTCTAACACGACCGCCTAGCACGACGATCAAATTAAACANTGACATTTGTTAGGTATTTGAAAAACTTAATATTGTTGGAAGTTGCCTCTATGGTAGATTTATAGTGACTACTCATGGTCAGAGAGCTTTTTATTATTCTGCCCAGTGCTTTAATTTCATTAACTTGTTGTAATCTAGTCTGACTTTTAGTGACATTAATTTCCCTTTTTGGTCCTCTGCTAACATGCATGACTTTAGTTTTGCTTGGGTTGAAACTTAGTTGTAGTTGGCTGCAGATTTCAATGAAGCTGTCTAGTTTTACCTGGAGGTTGCTGTTAGCCTCAGGGAAGCTACTGCCAGACGATACAAAGAAAAAGTCATCAGCGAACTGGTATATTTGTATATTGGAGTCGGATAGACTGTGTAGCCATTTTGTATAAATGTTAAAGAGGATTGGTGACAGTACACTTCCTTGCGGTTGCCCATTGCTGATTTCGACCGTACTGTTTCCTAGTTTTAAAGTCCTGCTAGCCAAAAAATGTATTATCCAGTCAGTATAGAGTTTCTCAACTTTCAGATCTACAAGAATTTGTTGAAGGGTANCATATGTAACCTTTCGCTCAATTGTGTGTCATAATAGAGTTTTTTATGTTGATCACAATGTGAAAAATCCCTTTACTGCACCAGAGCACTCTCTAACACGACCGCCTAGCACGACGATCAAATTAAACAGTGCGATATTTGCATACCAGAGTTGGGGGTAGTGCACCAGGCATTTCACTAGCAATAAATATATTGGAAGAAATTATATTTTTCACTATTTATCACCAGCTTAGTGAGAGTGGAAAATATTTGCACTGCCTCTAAAAACTTTACTGATAGTTTTTAAAATGGTTCTCTTTTTTATAAAGCAATCACATTTCTGGCTAGTATATTTCAGAACAAAAGGATAAGGATTGAGCCAAGAGCTTGTGTGAGCAAATCCAATTTTTGGCAGCAAATGTCAGTTACGCGGTCTTGTACTTTAAACGACGATATGTGAATGTTGACGCAATTATACGCGTTCGATACATCTGTGGAGCACAAAATTACCTGCTTTCTGTTACCTCTAAGAACCCCAATTTGGTGTAGCATGTGATTAATGCACATCGCTGTCGACTTGTTCTTTCTGTACGCAAAGGTGTTATTTGGTAGGATGCAGTTCGACTCCACAAATTCGTATAGTCTTTCTTTAATAACACTATTTACTATTTTTAACATAACTGAGATGAGCGATATGGGTCTAAAATTCTCTATTTGAGTGAGGTCTTTGTCCCTTTTGGGTATAGGCACAATCCTAATTACGCGCCAGTTGGGGGGGAATTTGGTTGGACAACAAAATGTCATTGATGGAAGTTTTGAAAGTGTTTAGAGTGAAGTCAGACAGTGACCTCAGCATGCTATAAGAAATGTTATCAGCGCCCGCCGCTGTGTCTTTTTTCTTATTAAGTATGAAGTTGATCTCGTCACATGTAATCGCAAGGTTAGGACTTGGCTGCGTAGGGCAGTTTATTTCTGTCACCGCTACCTGAGTCGGGATTTGTTCTTTAAGCATGATAAGGTAGTCCTGGTTATACTCCTCATTCCAGACCCCCTTACTAGTTTGACTGTGATCGCCACGTAACGTCTTGACAAACTTCCACGCTTTTTTCCCTAGACTGGAGTTTATTTGGTCAATTTTATTGTTGAAATTCTTCTTTTTGGCATCTTTAACAACTTTTTTCCAGGACTTCCGTTGTTCAAGCAGATTTTCGAAGCTGTTGGGGCTGGGCCATTGTTTGGCCTTTTGGAAC